CCAAACATCTGGGATCGGTCTCTTCGGAGCGTTTCCTGACAAGTTTTGTTGTGAAATGCTTCTTGTCCGCAGCGCAAGCACGGGCTGCAATGCAACATTTCTGGAGGAAAAAAAAAAACCCCAACGAACTTTTAATGGGATAAACACAGCTTAAGTCTCAGTTCCCAGGAAAGAAATCGAACAACACATTACATGAGTCAGTGAGCGCACTGAAACTGCAGGAGGTGTGACGGGACTTCCTGTTTGTGCTGTGTTTGCTCTCTGAGGCGATGTTCCGTGCTTTGCGCTTCCAAAATATTGCATCTCGTTCAGTAAACAGTTCACGCTCGAGAGAGAGAGAGAAGCCGTGTTGAAAGAAATGTACTGAAAGCGTCTTGCTTCACCAGCCTAAGAATGGAGCTGCGATGTTTAATAATATGTTTATACTTTTATATAATCGCTTTCGTAAAAGCACTTCAGGACCTGGACGTCGGCCAGTGCCGTGACACACGCGCGCGCTCTCTCCACCACGGCGAGCAAGAGCTCCGCTCGACCTGGTGGAGAATCCCACCTTGTTTCTGTTGATAGCATCGGAGAAAATAACAGCGAATTCGATTCGCTTCCGAAAAGACAGCTGCCTTCGCCCAGGGCACGTCCCCGAACCTCCCGCGAAGTGTCTCGTGTTAGCCTGGAACAGAATCAGCGCCGCAGATCTGGGCAGCTCGCGCGAAGTCATTTCCCTACGCTGTGGCCTCACAGGCGCGCGATTGTTCGCTCGTTAGGGTATCTCTGCTCTAATCAGATCCGCAGGACCGACCTGCTGCCTGACGAAACCCGAAACCTGGCCCTGCGGCGGCTGTGGCCGGTGTCTGTTTTTCGGGGTGTGCAGGAGGTGTTGTGCTCGACACCTCCCCGATTTCTGGCTCGGCACGACTTTTCTGGCTCGCGCGCCAGTCCTGGCCCCCGTATGACGTCAGTCCGCCTGCTTTTGAGGTAGAGCTGCATCAAGGTCAAATACTGTTCTGCGGGGTGACAGTCCCAGCCCC